TTCAGTTTTTGTAACATTTTTTTAACATGGCCCAGATTACATATTCCGAATTGTGTAAAACGTGACCTGGCAACGTCTTTGAGTTTGGCGTCACTGCACCTCGTCTATATCTGATGAGAAAAAATCAGATATAGACGGTTTAATTTTTCTATGAATTGATTTTTGAACTGTAGTTGAGAATATAGGACTTCCAAGGTTACTCTTTTTTGAAACAGTGCTTATGCCATAAATAACAAACTCTTCATAATGGGTATTATGTATATTTGAAAATAATAAATTCAAATATTCGAGTTCCTTCAGTTTTAATCAAAAATCAAAACTCTTCGGGTGTTGTTTTGGATTAAATTAAAATATAAATATTACTTTTTTCTTACTTTTTATGATGTTTGTAAAACTAAATTTGCTATTAAACAAAAAAAAGCAAATACTGTAGTCTCAATTGTAGTCTCAATATGAATTTATATCACACAGTAAACTCCTTCACTCCACACACACAATCAGTCATTGCTCAGCATAGCCCAAAGTGTCTAAAATTAAAGTTCTAGCTAACTACACTAAAAAAATGGAAAAATTAAATAACAAAGTGCCAACTAATAGCACTAATAAACGAATGAATGATTTCCCAATTAATGCCCGTTCAAAACCTATCTATAAACATTTGCAATGTAAAAACATAATATTGCATATATAAATATTATATTTAAGTCCTCATAGTATTTAAAATTTTTGTATCCCAATTATCCTGTCATGTTTCTGCATACTAAACCCCCGACTTGGCACTGAGAAATCGCGTCTGCTTTATTTTAAAGCTTTTATTTAGAATTTTATTATCGTTTATTTTGTTGCACTAGTTTTTGCCTTAAAAATACTTAAAAAAATCTTTATTATTTTTTCAGTATTGCATAATAAATTAAAACAAACTGACAGCAGCAAGCAAAGTAGATACTCAGATAAACGCCTTATGACAAATTTTCACATTATCCACTTAACGAAATGACCGCCCTTTTTAGCGCAAAAATGCGGTAATAGCTTGTATGGCTAAAAATAAAAAATATTCAAATTTTTTAAGAAATAAAGGAAAATAATAAAAGCTAAACAAAAGAATACAAGTGTAAACAGCAATGAAATGCAAAACTCACGCGATTATTTTAAGCTCCCTTTTATTTTTATTTTTATTTTTTCATTTAGTATCCTTGTGTCCTTACGCTGCTATGCTGCCATAATTATATTAAATTAGCCAGAAATAAAAATGCCAGTTGAAATGTATAAAAAGTAGAAGATGCAATGTGAAAAAATCCAAAAATATTTACAGTGTAAAAATCATTTTAGCGCAATTAAAGAGTAAGTCTAGCAGGGTTGCATTTCATACACCCCAACACATCCAAGCATTTTAATTGCAGTCACTTAAAGTCGTCCTTTTAAACACTTTTTTAGGTAATAGTCTTCTCTTTCTTAATTTTTTTGGTAAATGATGTTATTTTTATTATTTTTATTTTTATTCTTGATTTTGTTCTGCTCATAAATTTCCTCAGCCGGTATTCAGTCGGCTTAGTTCTCCTAATTGTCGAGGAATTTTTTTTCCGACGACCCATAAAGAAGCCTTCAGGACTCATGTGAATTTCGCGTGTTACAAACTAGTCCGCAACTGATGAGTTGAAATTTGTTATAAAGAAGTAAAGAGACTATGTGACTACTATATCCGTAAAAAAGAACACATAAATCAATGCCCTTTTTTAAATAATTTTTCTATTTAAAACTTTTGGCATAATTACAAGTGTAAAGTTGTAAATTTATGCTAATTATGAAAATAAATTCACGCCAATAATTCCGATGTGTTCTGGTGCTCCCCGATTGCTCTGTAGTCTCTACGAAAATATTTCATAGTTGTCGGCTCACAACAGATATGATATTAAAATTTGAATCAAATAAAACTTTTGCCTTCTGGCCTTGAAATTTTATTTTTATTTGCCAGAATTTATTGTTTTCGGTTAGTTTTAATTTAAAAAGTTTAATTCTGTTTGTTCCATTGTTTCTAGTCGTTGTGGAATCATCACAATGGCAGATCATAAAAAACCACAAAGTTAACTTGTTTGTGGTTTCTGCACTACACATACCAGAGAGAAGTAATGGAAAAATCCTATTACAACAGATGAAGTCACCATAGCGTCAATATTGTCACATTTGTAACGGCCAACTGCGTCCTAATAACATTGGAATAAAGTCAAATTGTTAAAATGCATGGACTCATACAAAGCTCTGCTAATGTATATGACGACTACATGTGGGGACAATGTTTGGTTTCCGTCATATTCAGATTAACACGCCTAAAGTGTATTTATTGATTAAACTAATATAAATCTTTAGAATGAGATTTTTTTAATAGACTTGTTATAGAAAGCAAAATAGCAGGCAAAGTAATGTCCTGAAGTACTCAATAGGATAAATATCGTACTGCTTATTCAAAGCCTCATACGTGAGCTTCTTTTTACTCTCTTTTATTCGGTACAGAACGTTTCACATTTAACTGCTTAATGTTTTCTGAAGGAGTCATGAACAGGTAAAATACAATTCCATAGCTTTGTCAGATGAATTGTATTTATTATTACAAAGCTGCGTTTAACCGTAGTTGTATTACTTAATACTCGACAGATCATACCCTCAAATTTCCACAAATGCAATCCCTCCAAAATCAATACATAAGACATTATAGTTATGAGTTTTAAACTTTCAACAATATCATTTAATATTCACTTCTTACTCTTCATTTCTATCATTGTTTTTCACTGTAAATTCTCCAGTTCTCTATTCAACTTTAAGAAAAAATGAACCGACACTATCTCTCCTGAAAGAAAATCAAGTAATAGTCCATTAAATTCCGGTTAAAATTCTAACTCAAGCAAAGTCTTACCATACATATTGTAATTAATGTTTTCAGGTTATAACGGTGATTCTCGAGATCTACATGCTAAACAACTGGTGACCTATTGTGTTGCCACATTAAAGAAATATAATATACTGGTAAACCATTATGTTACCATATTAAAAAAATTTCATATACTTAGTAACAATAATTTCAAACAACTTTTAAAATTTCAAAAAGTTTCTTATTAATTAATTCAACTGGCTTCCTTTAATTTGTATTTTTAACAATATGTATTTCTTTGTCCTTCTTCCATTATATCTTTCCTTTTTATTTTCGTTTTGCTGTAAGTTTTGCATGCTGCCATATTTGCCCGTTGCCACAGGACTTAAGTCCATTAAACTGCACATCATCAGCAGAGTCAACACATGCTCTAAATGCAGGACGCGCCATCGGCACATGCCGTAAACTTCCAACGTCAACACCAACCACGCCAACTCTAACCCGAACTCGTTTACGTGTCCTTTTCGCCTCTGTAAATCTGAAAAGGATTTTTTCATTTTCTCACCACACTTTCACACGACCTTTCGCCACAAGTGATAGAAATTTGCTGCTTACAATTTTTACAAAAAGCACTACCTTGCGGAAAAATGCACTGTGGAAAAAAGTGCAGCAAGGATACAGTAAATGAGAAGTTATGGGAAGTTAACCCCAGTTAATATTTTCGGCACTAAATTAATAATATATATAATTATATATGTTTTAATATTTTTGGGATTCGGATGTATTGAATGTCAATTTGCCTTTTTATTGAAAAATTTTTTCTGGTTTCATTCAACTAGGAATGGTGAAAGGATCTTGTTAACACTATATTCATTCCTTTTTCTTTAATAATTTTCTAAGCACATTAATAGTTCATTAACCACTTTGCTCCACTGTGCAACGTCACTGCCAACTTAAAGCATATGTGACCGGCAATTGTTTACACTAAATCGAGTTTGTGTTTATGTTTCTGGCGTGGCATGCTACCAGCAAACAATGGCAAAGTATTTCATGCGCCACTGAAGCAATTGTTGCCCATACTCCTGTCAGCAAGGCACCAACACGGTTTATGCACAGTAAGCGGACTTACTGATAGTTCTACTCATATCCTGTGCACAAATGAACACAACAATATCCATATTTCACAAGGATAAGCGCAATGCAGCAAACGTCGTCATGGTCTCGGCAGGCATGGCCCCTACTACCAAACGTAAGCCCATTGCCACCCACAGACGCACTGCTGAGCTTGTTGCAGTACATGCAATGTTGGCGACAATTCACACTACGGTGTGTCGCAGAGAAGGTGGCTAACGTTGAAACAATTGTAGTCTTCATGACTTTAGCAATTCTTAAGCAAAGTTTGTGTCCTAAATATCGCATCAACAACTGTGTAAGGTAGCCTACATCATAAAGTGTCTATTGATGTACGCACATGTTGCCTTATCATCCCAACTTTTGGTTGCAATTGGCGTTATGCCGAATATTAAGCCCAACTGAAAACGTCTATTTTTTTCACTTACGTTATAGCAGGCCTGGCGGTGCCGGTAGGTGGTTTTCACTGGTCAGACCGGTGTCATCTGTAGTTAGCTAATGTGAAAACATTGGTACTGCTGTTGGTCAGGCTAGTGTAATAAATTTGCAGACCATAAAATCTTGCGGAAAAATAAAGTACATCCGACTCCGTGTAGCCAAAACCCAATAAAAACAACAGTGAAAAGTAGATTTAATAGAAAAAATTGTCGCCATCGTCACAACCCAACGCAGCGTAAATAAAGTACAACCGACTGAGTTCCTGCTCCGTCCCAACCGTTCCAACCGTTTCAGCACTAAAATTTATGTTACCCATGTGTAAGCGTAAGCATTTCTTTGAGGAACCCTTGGTCTGCCTTGAGGTCTTGCCAAACAGCATTATTTGTTGTTGTTGTGATTGCTGCTGTCAGCATTTTTCGCTTTACGCCTCAGCTCAAGTTTTCGATGCATGACTGATTTGCGAACGATGAACACAAATTGACATCAAAATTGAAAGACTTTAAATATTTATTTGTAGATCTGTAATAATATTTTTTGCTTAGTAATTTTTTTTATTTTATATTTTCAGATCTCTCTTCGAAACGCCAAATGATACGGAATCACTTCTTTTAGCACAAAGCATCGCATTAAGCACATCAGATTCACCATTCGTCGCATTTCTTCCTTTAGCAGAAACAATTTCACGTAAATTTGACCTGATGACTATGGCAGAAGGTACCGACCCCATGGGGCATCATGCAAATTCCCATCATCATCATCAACGTCAACACTATCAGCCGCACCAGCACAGCCAACATTATGCGCCATATGCGCATCTGCAGTATCCTTTGCCGCAGCATTTTCCATTGACGCTGAGCTTGCAGCAACAGGCTATGGCGGCTGCTGCTGCAGCAGCTATTGTCGCAGAACAGCACACCAATAATAATGAATCTTTACTGGCCAACAACAATAACATCAGCAACAACAACAACAATAACGTTATGCCGTGGAAACAACGCAAGCGCCGACGTCTCTCAGCTGTGGTAGATAAATTGCACTACAACAACAACAATGTCGCTACTAACAATAATAATAATTCCGAAGTCGATGAATCGTTGGATATTAAATTAGAAGACCTGAGCAACGAGAATGAGAATGAGGCTAATTTCAACAACAACAATAACAACATCAAGAAATTGCACGGTACACTTCATAACAAATGCGGTGGCGCGAGTGCGGATGAAGCCGAATCGGAACATATGTCGAATTGTGACAATGACAGTCCGCGCATAAGCATGAGTCCTTTACAGTTATTATCAAATGACTGTAAGCAAATGCCGCCTATGAGCGCTATATCGAATACAAAGTTACTGGAGGACAATCCTCTGCACGTCGATATTAAGACTGAACATCACCTGCCAAATCCATACGATCGCTACTTCCCCATACCATCACCACTCTTCGGTTACTATTTGCATACAAAATATTTGAATGAAGTATTTCGTCGAAGACAGGATCTTTATCCTTCACCCATGCAGCACACACCCTCTTCAATCTCTTCTTCATTGACTGACGAAATTTCACCCACAAGCCAAACAAAGTCGTTGTCTGCACATATGGCACATACACCGCCACTGCCGTTGACTACTAACACCCAATACGGAACTATTCTCGGACAGAAATCACCTACGCCGACAGTATCCATTGCTTTACCATCACCTCCACGCAGTGAAGCCTCAACACATGCTACACGCTCAGCACCTTCTTCACCTTCATCCCATGTCGCTAACACATCTGATCCAACCATCATGCCACCACCCCAAGATCGCCCTCTGGACTTAACAGTACATAGTCGTGGCAACACGCCCACTAATGAGCTGAGCGCTAAAAAATTTAAAACCCTGACACCACCACCACAAGCTACACCAAAAATGATGTTGCCACCAAGCCAGCATTCACTATCCGCAGTTAGCATTCCTTCAGTATCGCCAAGCAGCACAAGTTCAATCATGACCGCCGCTACTAACACATCAACATCCAGTTCTGCTCCAGTTTCACCTTACAGTTTACCGCACGCCGCTGCCGCAGCTGCACATGCCGCTGCTGCAGCCGCAGCTGCTGCTATGATTAAACTGGAAATGCCAATGCACACTATGCATCCGCATAATACCACCACAACAATTGTAGGCGTGCCCGTTATAAAAGGTGATGTCGCTTCACCCACCACAAAGGAATCTGTTGCTTGGCGTTACAATCTGGATGTTTCACCTGTTGTCGAAGAAATGCCTCCAGGTTCTGATGTCGCATATGCATGTCCTGTTTGTGGTCAAATGTTCTCGTTACATGATCGCCTTGCCAAACACATGGCATCACGCCATAAATCCCGAAATCCAACTAACGACATTGCCAAAGCCTACTCTTGCGAGGTGTGCAATCGCTCATTTGCACGTTCTGATATGTTGACACGTCACATGCGGTTGCACACTGGCGTCAAGCCGTACACGTGCAAAGTGTGCGGTCAAGTGTTCTCCCGTTCTGATCATTTATCAACGCACCAGCGCACACACACCGGCGAGAAACCCTACAAATGTCCGCAATGTCCATATGCAGCGTGCAGGCGCGATATGATCACGCGACACATGCGAACACATACACGCTACGAATCACAGCAACAACAACACCAGCAGCAGCAACAACAACGCACGGGCAATTTCAACAACAACAACAACAATTTAACGCTATTGAACAACAATAACAATTCCGGCAGCAACACAACAACCGAATCAAAATCTCCACGGCCTCTATCAGCAGATGTGAAAATGAATTTGCCGATACTGTTAAAGAACGAGGATCCAAGTATGCATTCTGGTCTGGGTGCTAATATGCCGATCGTTGTCAAAACAGAAAGCGCTTAGGGACGTTCAAAGGAGGTATTTGAGTGTACAAGTTTATCGCGACACATATACACAAACAGTAATTCATACTCAAACACTAGTAGAATTCGTACTCAACCGATGATATTTAAACGCGCTCTCTCGATTGCGATGAGAAAGAGATCAACCAAGCGCAAATATACGAAGAGTAGCTTAGTTTAACGTTTATACGATACGACAAAAATCTCTCTGCAAAGACTGAGAATTAAGTTTAATTCAGTTTCTTAATTAATTTACTAAAATAGGTGTTAAGGCATTAAAATAGTTATAAGTTATAAGGAAAGTTATGTCAGAACATACCTGACATATGCAGACTTCATCAAGTTCCAAAAAATTATTAGATTTGTAAGTTGAAAACATTTTTATGTATAAGAAATCGGTGGGTGAGCTAAACACATAATTATCAGTAATGCTTCACTAAGGTTCTTTCTTAAACGTTGTTATCATTAGCTCGAAGAACATGTCATAACGATGGATATAGAAGAGTAATTTAAACATAATTTGAAAATAAATAATTGATTCACCGTTAAGCCCTTGTTAGATTTGTATTTATGTCACAATTTACAATCCATTCTTCTTTCTTAACAGCTATATATTTGTGGTCTCTCTCTCTCTCTCTCTCTGCATTTCTTCTCAAGTTTTGTGTTATATAAAGCTACTTAAATATATATTTCTATTCCTTTTTATTATGATATAGGTGCATAAGTATTATTAAAAAATCAAATCTTGCCAATAGCTCGTCTGTGAAAAATATTGATTATTCTTGCCACATTGTGTCTACTCCTTTCTCTCTTCAAAACTTTTAGCTCAAATTGCACTTATCTGAAATTACCACTTTTTTAAATTTTTTCTATCCAGATATACGAGTATAAATAAGAGAAGCTTAGCCATTACATTATTGTTTACTTCTACACACCTACCAGATCGCAATTTGACAACTAGATATGTACTACTGTATATGTCTAAGGGACATATCTAGTATTTTCGAGTTCATATTAATATCTCTATTTTTTGTTTAATTTGCTTTAATGATCCTCACAATATTATTTTATTATCATTGTAGCTTTGCCAAAAAAAAAAAACTTTGTCGGTTTATAATTTTAATTAAAAATTAAACGGATTCATAGCATTCCACTTTTGTCGGGGGCTTAACTTAGGGCTTGAGAATCATTTGGGGTTTCAATATTTGATGGTTGTGATGCCAACAAACATTAGATTTGATATAATAGGAAAAGTGCTATCACTTTTAATTTAATTATTATTTAATTAAGTGATTAAAATTAATTTTGTATGATTTAAGATGTGAACAGTTTGAAGGACCCACAAAACCGAATCATTTTAATGTTTATAATTAATTTATTTAAAAAAAGAATTAGTTTACTTTTTAAGTTTTGTATTATTAAGTTTAGTTTTATATTTAATTTATTAAAAGCAAAAAGACAATTTGTATTAAAAATTTAATTTAATTTATTTCATGTTTAGATTGAAAAAAACTTAATGAAAGACAAAGAATTCTCCTAGGGGCACAAAATTTTTATTCCTAAAAAATATTTTTAAAATTAAATTTTAATATTTGCAATTTTTGTTTTAAAAAAATATTTTGTTTCATTTAATGAAAACAAAATTAATGATTTTCTTAATCTTGAATTTAATAATAATTTTCAATAATTTTTTTGGTTTACATTTAATTTATATTTCTTATTTTTCAACTTTTGATCAAAAAAAATTATTTCACATGTTAACTATGAGACACACAAAAGCCAGTTTTTAGTAAATATTATTAACTAAATTAATAAATTTTAAAATTGTTAAAAATCAATTTTATTTGTTATTTATTTGTATAATTTTAAAAATTATATATATCATTTGTTCTGTTCTGTTCTGTTGAATTTATTAAAATTTAAAAAATGTTTTGTTTGTATTGAAATAAAATAAAATAAAATAAAATAAAATAAAATAAAATAAAATAAAATAAAATAAAATAAAATAAAATAAAATAAAAAAAATAATTCTTAAATTGTTTAAGTTTTTTATTATTGCTCAAATAGGCTAACTACTTTTGATACTATTAAAAAAATAATTTATTTAATTTAATTTTATTTATAAAATAATATAATTTATAGTTTTAAGTTTTTTTTTAATATGTAAAATATTGGTTATGATTACTTTTTAAAAAAATTTTTCAAAATAAATAAAATAAAATAAAAATTAATTTCATTAAAAAAATTTTTTTTATTTAATTTTTCTATATATATTTGTTGTTGTTTTTAAAATTTAAGTAACGATTTTTTTCTTGAAATTGTTTTATTTTTGCATATGGTATAGCCAGACCTTTATAATGCACTTAATTGACGAATATTCCACTAGTAGCAAGAGTATCTTTCAAGATCAAGAGTATCTTTTTTGACTTAAACTTAAATTTGGATTAAAAATTTAAACAGAAATAATCCAATCACCTATTAGTCGGTTACAATGGATTATATATTTGATATATAATTTGATAAACGACAAATGTTTCAGCTTCTTAGAGAAGAAATATGTGATGGTTCATATATTATTATTATTATTAATAGGATTCATACTGTCAGTAGGCAAGCACTTACGCATTCCAGGTCTTTGTTCAAGAGCAATGAGCTCTGATGAGACGTACTTCACTCGCATTATATACGTCGTGCATAGTGTTTCATTTGTGTTATAATTCCAACCTGGATATATATTAAAGTTATTAACATGCCTTACAGAGATTTTTAGTTCAAGGTTCAGACTTCTTTTAATACTATTATAAAGGCCAGATAGCGACTTCGTACAGATTCGTTTGATGACAGAAACAGAAATGAGGTCTAGATGTTTCACTCTACATAATGCAAACACTTTTATTCTTTATATCTGTTAATCATCTCGTCAATTCTGACTAAATAAGAATATCTGACTAAATAAGAAAGCGAAAACTATGCTGGGTTGAGATTAAATTCTCAGTATTTTGGTGAATGTAATGTTAACACTAATTCATAATATCGTGAATAATTTTGTTGTTTGTAAGTAGTTATACAACCTATACAACCCGACAAATGAAGACTCCGCAGAGAACTTAGAGTTATGATTAGAAAAAAATTTACTCCGTTAATCTATTACGACATTTGATTCAATATACATTGTGACCGAAAAGTTTCCGGAAATTTTAAATAAAACGCAAAATTCTTAATCTTCATCAATATTTATTTTATCTCCTTCAAAATATGCTCCATTAGAAGCGATACACAAATGCCAACGTTTCTTCCAATCATCAAAACATTTTTTATAGGCGCTTTCCGGTATGGCTTTGAGTTCCCTCTGCGAATTCTGTTTTACGTCTTCTATGGATTCAAAACGCGTTCCTCTGAGTGGTAATTTGAGTTTGGGAAACAGGAAAAAGTCACACGGTGCAAGATCAGGTGAATACGGGGGCTGTTCGATGGTATTTATTGAATGTTTGGCCTTAAAATCGTTGATAATGTTGGCTCGGTGCGAGGGAGCATTATCGTCATGAAAAATCCATGAATTATCCTTCCACAATTGAGGCCGTTTACGGCGGATATTTTCACGCAAACGTCTTAAAACAGTCAAATAATAGGCTTTATTGACTGTTTGTCCTTCAGGGACGAATTCATGATGCACCACACCACGAATATCGAAGAAAACAATCAGCATTGCCTTGATTTTCGAGCGACTTTGGCGTGGTTTTTTCGGTTTCGGCTCGTCTTTTCCTCTCCATTCCGATGATTGTTGGCTTGTTTGCATGTCGTACTCGTAGACCCATGTCTCGTCACCCGTTATGATGCGTTCCATGAAAGTTGGATCGGAATTGGCACGATCAAGCATGTCTAACGAGACCTGTCCACGATGGTGTTTTTGGAACAAATTGAGGTGAATCGGAAAAAGCCGAGCGTTGACACGTCGCATACACAAATTGTCCACCAAAATCAAACGAGCCATCTCACGACCGATGCCTAGCTCTCGTGCTATCTCTCTAACACTCACATGAGGATTTTTGAACACGATTTCCTTTGCCTTTTCAATGTTTTCGTCGGTGGTAGAGGTCGAAGGTCGTCCAGAACGCGGCATGTCTTCGACGGTCGTACGACAGTCCTGAAAGGCTTTGTACCACTCATAAACTTGAGTTTTCGATAAAACTGATTCCCCATAAGCCTTTTGTAGCATTCGCAACGATTCTGCACACGAAAATTCGTTCGAAACACAAAATTTGATGCAAACTCTTTGATCAATATTTTTTTCCATTGTTTTTCGCAACGCACTACTGAGGTGAACTGGTTTCAACAGCTGCCGTAAACGAACTGTCTGACAGATCGCGCTCCCATTTTTGGCATAGTAATTAAGGACAGTGCTGCCAAACTACATAAACTTAAAATATCGAAAAATATACAGCGCGCGAATTTTAAATGAGAATTTCCGAAAACTTTTCGGTCACAATGTATAATTTTTTTAATTCGTATAAAGGTACATGAGAACTGTCTTACATCATCATTATGATAATAAAGTTCATTTAGAACTTAAAGTTTATTCACAATATCCTTTTATTCTTCTCTTTTTTAGTGTCATCTCTATTGATTCTGGTATCTGTGTATAATTGTATCACCTTCGACTACTAGATTAATTTGATTGTTATTCGTGATACGATGTATTCCATTTTTTAGTAACAGCTCAAATATTTATAGTTTATTTTTTCAAACATCGCTAGCTTATTCATTTCTGTGTCTAATTCTGTCAACTACTGTATCCATATTATTGTTTCAGTTGTTAATATCCATATTACTGTTTCATAGATAATAAGATCCGCTTCATTCCTTTTATATATTTTAAAATAATTTTATTTTATTTTAAATGAATTTAGATTTATTCGGTATACCTCTATGTTATATACAAAATCCTTCTCGTAGTTAATAACCGAATTTCGAACTTGTATTCATCATAATAATTATGAGAGGAGATCCTCTGGGAGCACAATATTATTTACCTCTGTTGACAGTAGTTTTATTAATGTGTTAACATATTTGGATGTATTGAAGGGCATAGGGCGTTATTAACTGAACTCATCTCAGAGCATTTCAAGTTTATGTGAAAACGTAGGTAATTATGTCTCTGGTGCTTTACGCTGCCAATAATCACCTCATCACAACAGCTGTGATAATTACAATAGCAGCAACAACAGAATTGCTATCATGATGGGGAAGTTGCTAATTTTGATGACGTATTGCTAAACACAATGAAGGATTTGGAAAAAATGAATTGGAAAAAATCACAACATCACAATCAACATAAACAAAAGCAGTACGAGTAGTGCTATGCGGTGTTGCTGTGGTATTGCTGACGTAGCTACTCGCAACTGAACATTCCGTCGATTTGTTGCTTAAAATTGACTAATTTCTTTTGGAGAAAAAAATTCTGCCGAAAATAAATCAATTTTTTTTTTATTTGCTAAAGCCGAATTGCATCCGTTGTTGGCAACAAAAGCTATTGTCGTAGTTGTCTTTGTTGTTGTTGATTATTTTGTTGCTGTCACAAGTCCAGTGCAGCTTGCAACATTTTGTCACTACAGCACTTGTAGCTGTAGTGCATTTCTATGTTGCAACATGAAAAAGT